CACTTCATAGTTTTTCATCTTCACTAGACATGGATATACTTTGGATATATTTTAGTATACCCATCCATGCATCCATCCATCCACCCACCCACCCAGCCAGCCAGCGGTTGGCTGATGCCTATCTCTGGCAAAAACCCAAATCTGTTGCAGGGCAACACAGAGACCTGATACAACCATACACACACACACACACACACACACACACACACACACACACACACACACACACACACACACACACACACACACACACTCACACCTATGATGATTTAGAGACACCAGTTAATCTAACACTGAAGTTTTTGGATTGTGGGAGGAAGCCGGAGTACCCGGAGAGAACCCACATATGCACAGAGAGAACATGCAAACTCCATGCAGAAAGACCCCTGAACCTTCTTACTGCAAGGCCACAACCTCTGATCCTATGGCGTAACAACACAAAAATAGGCCCGTAAGCAACATTATCTGGGTGGGCCCAATATGAAGTATAGTTCTTCCAAAAGCTCTTCTTTGCTTTTTCTTTTGTGGAATCCGCTTAAGTACCTCTTTTTGGTATCCATCGTCGCTAACACATTGTACGTAACGGTTATGGTTTTAATCAACACTCTGGATTACCCATAATTCCAAGTTGTAGCCGTAATAAAATGCTTGAATACATTGTTCTTTTAAGATATTTATTGCGGTTTGAAATATATTATATGAGTGTATTTTTTAAATAACCCTCTAATGAACTACACACAGTTATTATCATAGTAATTAAAAGTACCACTGTCTGCTTTGCTATTGGTGTCGTGATTAAACGGCTCACCATCATGTTGAAATCTGCCATGTGTTGAGGTATAAATAAGGTCCGGTCAGTTAATCTTGTATCAGGTGGGTTAAGAAGAATTTTTCACACCATATATCTGCAAAGAGACGTCCTGGTCCACAATTGCATAGGGGCCAACCAGGTGTCAGCGCCCCTAAGAGGTCGGAGGCCCCTAAGCAATTGCAGGCTCTGCTAACCGATAGTTACGCCATTGCTTGCCTTGTTTTTGGTTATAACGGTTAGGGAGACTTAGTCATGGAGGATCTATAACTCCCAGAAGACCAAAAAGCTGAAATCCTGAGTTTGTTAAAACCCATCGGTTTATAGCTGCCTTTAACTGTTGAACTTTTGTTACCTTTATGGTCCAAATGTTTTATTTGCTTTACTACTCGCTTTTAACATGTTTTATTTATTCATTTATTTTTTTTTATCTTCATTTGATTTTTCCTGCTTTTATTCTCCTTATCTCGCATTGTGTAATAAATGTAAATCACTTTTAATTGTCTTTGTACTGAAAGTGCATCCAAATGCTACACCGTTTCAACTGGTCCATTGCGTGACCGTGGATGTTTAGTTTTGTTCTCTTTTGTTCTTGTTTCTTTTGCCTCCATCGATAAAAAGTTGGAAAAACAGGTTCTGCGCCAAGAAAAACAAACTCTCAACCTAGTAGCCTCTGTGTCTGCGATCACATGATCAGCGTGCTGCCTTCAGTGCACGCAAGATGCATGGGAAATACAACGTTGAACCGTGGAGCACAGACAAACATACGTGTAAAAAACAACAACAAAAAACATAGACATACATGAATAATGTAAATGTGTGCACAAGCTCGCATCTGGTGACAGAGAAAGAGTAGGTAGTTTGCATATTAATTAAATAGGCTGCTAACGAACAACTCGCAGCGGCGAATCGATTCTCATCGTTCACCGTGAAGGCACCGCCAAAAGGGGCGAATCGTTCCAGAACTTCGCAACTCTGCTGCTGCTCGGTTGTTTCTTTCAGTCCGTTAACTTTCTAAAGCTGTCTTTTTTGAAGTAATTGAATCTAAAACCATGGCTAAGGATATGACTCTGCTGTGGGGCTCCGGCTCTCCTCCCTGCTGGAGAGTGATAATCGTCCTGGAGGAGAAGAATCTGCAGGGTTACAACAGTAAACTGCTCTCCTTTGAGAAAATGGAGCACAAGTCCCAGCAAGTGTTAGATATCAATCCAAGGGGACAGGTGGGTATAAACAAACCAAAACAAACGGTTCCATATAGAGTAACATTTCCTCAATCACGCGGAGGTAGTTGCATGTAAAAAAAAAAAAGGGGAAGAGACTATTGGATCTGTTTAAGCTGTAGATATTAGCTGAATCTGAATTCCAAGGATTGGTTTAAGAAACGTATCTGTTTGAGCACATCATTATGAACAAAAAGATATATTAAACGCCTAAAACAGCAGCCAGGTTATAGAAAAGGAGAAATCTTGTGTGCAGGGCAGCCTATAGACATTATGGCACACTGCCCAGGGAGCCAAATCCTATGGGGCGCCTTAAACGCTCTGGTAATTTCACTTTTGTTTGTTGAAATCGTAGCTACATTCGATTATTGCAAAGTAAACTTGATTGGTTAACTACTTAAATTTGCTGCAAATATATATTCCCTTAAGGGCTGGTTACAGTGTATCGCAGTGAGCTTGACACAGACATTTTTTTATTTATGCTCAATTTTGAAGCGTGGTCTGCGCTTTACGCTGTGGGTCTAGATACGGCCAAGGCGGTGATGAAGTGGGGGTTAGTTTGTCCGACAACGGAAGGACATGGCGGCGAAAAATGGCGGGGATCCAGGTGGAAAAAGCGTCCCGGCGTTCTCGCATACCTCGCTCTTCTAGCTGGTCCTTCTTCACGAGTCGTTTTCCGCAATTTCGGTGTTAAAACCAAAACTAGCCTCCTGTCTGCGGGGCTGTCGGCGGTCCGGAGAGGTGCAGCAGAGTGTTTGCAGAGGGGGCGGGACTGCTTTTTGTTCACTGTGACACCTACGCAGACGACCTAGTTTCGAAGTATAAATAAGCCTTTAGTGCGGGGCTCGGCAACCTGCGGCTCCGGAGCCTTTAAAGGCTGCCTGGAGCTTTTAAAAAAATTTTTTATGAAAATTTATTTCTTTTTTTTGATAATAAAAAAAATCAAGGAGGTCAAACAAAATAAATAATGTTTTCCAATGCTGTAAACATTTGTATAATAAATACATTTAAACAATAATTTGCGTCATAGCCATAGAGATCCGTAGTCATAACTTGCAACCAGAGCAGCGCAGTGCCAGGCAAACAAAGCTGCAGGATTGTCTTGGACCATGGAACCCAAAGGGAAAAAAGGAAGATAACTGATGAGAAATGAGGATTTAAAGAATGGAGCAAATCCTTTGCTTACCTGCATATTTGCTTTGTAATAAGAGGTTGTCAAAAAATGAAAAGAAAATTTTATAAAAGGCATCTCCAATATATGGAGAAGGCAAGCTAAATATGCAGCCGACCACCTTTTCTATAGTGGGCTAATACACTAGAGCCCGTGTTGCCATACGAGGCATATATAAGACTTTTATATTTTTTTGGCTCCAGACAGATTTATTTTTTGTTTTTTTCGGTCCAATATGGCTTTTCTTTGATCAGTTTGGGTTGCCGACCCCTTATTTAGTGCATATAATGCAAAGATATGCATACTACCAACCCAATATACATTTCCTTGATCATGCAATATTTAGGACATGTTTTTTGGTTTTCAGACTTCTAACTAGATTATGATTTATTTGGGTTGGATATAATCCAGTTCACATTCTGTTTGTTATTTAGCAATTTTTCCTGTTTGGCTACATTTGTTTTTAACTTTACATCTAAAAAATGCTTCGAAATATGCTCTGAGAGCCGTTGAACTCCCCCAATCCCTTTAGCACAGGGCTGAGCAAATTGGTTATTTTAGAACTATGTGGTACTGAGGAAACAAGTACTCCATAATTACCGGTTTGATGATCATGGTCTACATTTGATCAGGTATCAATCCTAAAAAATGAACAGTTAAACATAAAGCCATTATATTTATATTTTTCCACCAGCTTCCTTCCTTCAAAGATGGAGACAAAATAATCAATGAGTCCATCGGAGCATGTTTATACCTGGAGGTAAAGTATGGAGCACTGTGATTATAATACATAAAGAGTTTGAAAAAAAAAATTGTGATGATTTTATTGTTTTTGTCTCCTTCGTTAAAAGAATCAGTACAAGTCTCAGGGCACCAAGCTGATTCCTGACAGTCCTGCAGAGCAAGCTCTGATGTACCAGCGTATGATGGAGGGTAACACTCTCATGCAGAAAATAGGTAAATTTGACTAATGCAGTTGAACATCCATCTCCATACAAGAAACACTAATATCAACACTTTTTTTTTCAGCTACGGTTTTGTATTACCACATGCTTGTCCCGGAAGGAGAGCGCCACGACTCTGCTGTGAAGAGAAACAGGGAGAATCTGACCACTGAACTTCAACTCTGGGAGAAATACCTGGAAAATGTATGTTTAGGAACACTACAGAACCTAACATGTTGAAAAGGTTACTTGTTTCGGTGATGACTGTTTTTTTCTATTGTTTTGTGCATAAAGGTGGCTGCAGGTTCCTACCTAGCAGGGGCCTTCTCCTTAGCTGATGTGGTTGTCTATCCAAACTTTGCTTATGCCTTCCAGTATGGGTATGTAAGGAACCTGGTGTTTACTGAAGGACAAATATTTCTTCTCAACATTATAACTTTATATATTTTTCTGTTTTCCAGGCTGTCTGCGGAACGTTACCCCAAAATTGCCAAGTACTTGAACCTTCTGAAGGACAGACCCAGCATTAAAACTACTTGGCCCCAAAAGTGGTTCCAACACGAACAAAGAGCTGAGATGCTGAAGGGAATCTAAAGAACAAAAAAATTTCCATGATCTTTTCTACATTTGTTTATTCTTTGTAATTTCAAACTCGGAAAAAACATATACATACATATATATATAGAATAAAAACTGCAGCACAGGCTACTCAATGTAAATGAAGCTTTTGTCGTGTAGTTGCCTTCTCCAGCCACTTGGGGGCAACAGATATCACATTTCTCTGGAATCGTATAAATAAAAAAATCAAGAAGAAATCTATCCTGCTGCGTGAGCGTTTTTGTCAGACTTAAAACTTGTTAAAGGCTGATATTTTGAAGCAGTTGAATCTAAAACCATGGCTAAAGACATGACTCTGCTGTGGGGCTCCGGCTCTCCTCCCTGCTGGAGAGTGATGATCGCTCTGGAGGAGAAGAATCTGCAGGGTTACAACAGTAAACTGCTCTCCTTTGACAAAATGGAGCACAAGTCCCAGCAAGTGTTAGATATCAATCCAAGGGGACAGGTGGGTATCGGTTTAATATATATAAAGAATAGCAAAGGGACAAGCTGTTATATGGAGAGTAAAGTTAATGAAACAGTGCACGAGGGCCCTGCTGCAGAGCATCAGTTTTAAGGTTACATTTCTCACAAAATAAAGAAAATGGATCAGTTTCAGCAGTGGTTTCTGCACCCATAGAAAACATATCAATTAAATAAATTTTTAACATGTTTCGGGCCTAAAATATAAGCATCAGTTATGTTTGTCAAATGTTCTTATTGTTTAAAATCTACTATTGCTCTAGTTTTTTGCTCGGAGCTTGATAATAGTAAACATGGGCGGTTCTAGACGGGGGTCAACAGGGGGCAGTGCCACTGTTATGGCCCCTGTACCAAAGACATAGTACTGGATCTGCTCTGGAACAAACATGGTTACTGATGGGTCCTTTGGATCTATTTATTTTTTTCTGTTTTGCTAATTATTTAAAAACAATTAGGTGATTGCTTCAGTGATATGGAAATAGAACCCCAGTTGTCATCTGCTAAATGATTTTTTTGAAACAAAATTTAGGAGCCAATAATTTTTTGTTAATAATTAAAAATGTTTTTTTGTATTTTGTGCATAATCTAGCTAAGTTTATTTTACTTTATTTTTTGATATCTGTTATGAGATTATGTTTTTTGGTTATTTAGTCATGTTCCTTTGTTTTTGGTTAGTTATGATTAATTTAGGTTAATTATTTTTTATAAATAGGCAGTCAATGGTAGGACCAGCATGCATCTGGGTGGGAGTATGTTTTTTTACCAGTGCAAGAGAAACCTGGAGGAAATGTTTGTCTTTTTTTTTTTTTTTTCCTGGCCGGAGGAGAAAATAAACAGAGAAATCTAAAGGAGTACCTGGAAATTTTTTTATTTTTGCCTGCGTTATAGAAGTCCATGGTGCATCTGTGGCCTTTGTGGATTTCCAATTTTTTCTGTCATCAAAGCTGGGCCACAACACAAAAAATTAATAATAATTTTTGCAGCTGAATTTATCAGTTTTTCTTGAGTTGTAATTCAAATTTTACAGAAAACATAATTTTTGCTTAAATTAAGTCAAAAATATGTAAAATTCCTAAATTATGAATGTATATTGACCTAATAAGACAGAACATTTTAATTAAACCTAATTGAATAGAAACAAATTCTCTTCATGTAGCTATCTTAATATATTTGAATCCCTGACCTGTTTTTTATTTCATGCTTTTCTGGGCCCCCATGAAAACAATGCTGGCCCCTTCCTGGCCTCCTGATACATTTAGTCTAGCACTGCCACTGATAGTAAAGCATTTTTACTTCCATTTTGCTCTAATCAGTTTTGTCTGGTCACGGTGCTGATAAGTGTCAGTTGTCAGGGGCGGAGCTAGATGGGGCTTACCCTACCTATTTTTCCCCTCTAATACAGATGGTGGCAACAGTAATACGGTGAAGTGGAATATTTAAAACATTTAATTTTTTCATATATTAACATTTACTTGACAACAAAAACACAGGTTAAATTATACACATCAATATACTGACATTAAAGATAAGTACAGAATTCATGCTTTTTTCAGAACTAGATTTTGTGTTATATGAGAAAATGATGCATCTCTGCAAGTCATCTAAGAGTCTTTAGTAAAATTATTGATAAATAGCTATTTTAATAAAATATATTAAATATTTCAATTTATGTAGATATTAATACTTATAAATATCAATTTTATGCAGAATGGCGATGGAAAAGAAGTTCGCCCAAAACTCCAACCTCAAAGAATTGTATCCACTATACCTTTTATCTAGAAAGCACAGATGTTTAAATATTTATATGTCTACTTGTCAGCAAAGGTTGTAGAAAAGTATAGTTGGTCTTTATTTAGAAAATATGGATGTTATGCCCATTAATTTTCCTGTTGTAGATTGGCCCTGAGGATCTGGCGCCTATCTGCTTTCGGCTGTCCCTCAGTTTACATTGGTTAGTGCCTGGCCACCCTTAGAAAAAATGTCTAGCTACGCCTCTGTCAGGTGTAGGGCTTCAAGGAAGTGGTTAAATAGATGTTATCTGGACATTTCTAAGCTGACTGTCTGGTTATCAGCAGGATCTGGGGTCCAGTGAATGGTTTTAAAAAAGGAAGGAGGAATCTACTGGAATTCACTTTATGGCTCAGTGCCCAGGGTGTCATGATCAGAGGGACATCATAAGCACCGTTTCCAATCTTAGCTGCACTTGAGCATTGCGAGTTTAAACTTTAAGGTACATTAAATGGTTAACATGCACATGGTGTTCAAGATCAAACAGGAAAATTAATAGAACTGTCTTTACAAAAAAAAATATATATAAAAAATACAGGTTTTTGTATTTTCTGGGAGGAGGCATCAGGGCAACCATGGGCCAGAAAAAAGTATAAAAAATTGCAGCATATAGATGAGCCTTATCATTCAACCAGCTAGAGACTGTTTAGGGAGGAGATGCAGAGGAACGGGTCGCCAAGGGCAACATTTATTAGCAAGTTATCAGCTGAGGATATGGATAAGATTTCTTGAGCTGTTCCTGCTCCTATTTAATTCAAAAGTATGTAAACTATGTCAAATTAGCTCTAACAGTAAGTATATGAGGCTGCATTAAAGGTTCCACTTTGTTTTTAATAAGAGAAATAAGGGAAAAATATCTGAACATGAGAATATTTACATTCAGGGCCTGGTGGATTAGAGCAGTGCGCCTTTCCTCTGAGGAGGTTGCAAGTACCTGGTTTGATCCCCACACACTGCTCCCTGGGCGCCGCACAATGGCAGCCCACTGCTCCCCAAGGGGATGGGTTAAATGCAGAGTTAATTTCTCTAATGTAAGATCAATAAAGTTTAATTTTTTTATGAGATTTACTGAAAACGGTTACTAATGTTCCAAAGGCTGCTGGACATCCTAGTGAAAAATGTTTTAGGCCTAAAAAAATATTAGAAAAAGTTTGGTTAATCTTAAATTTCTTTAGAAATAGATTGTGCATCTAAAAGAGAAACTATCCAGGTTTTCTTTAGAATAGCTGTAATTCCACAGTAGGACAGTGACCATTAACAATGATTGTAAGCATAGAATATTTGAAAGGCTTAACAAACAAATAGCCCAGTCAAAATCCAGAGCAAAAACAAAATCTCCCCAAACCTGGATAAACTGATCTATTAAGAAGCTTGACTAACTTTTAGATCAATAAAATAAAGCTGTGAACCCTTTGTGTTGCTCATAATATTTCTTTATTTTCCAGGTTCCATCATTCAAACATGGAGACATTGTTGTTAATGAATCCTATGCTGCCTGCTTTTACCTTGAGGTAAGGAAGTCAGCGTCAAAGCAACACTCTGAATAGTTTCATAAGACCACAAAAAAAAAAAACTGATGTCAGGATCATTTTGTTTTGCAGAGTCAGTTTAAATCCCAGGGCACCAAACTGATCCCAGACGGAGCCGAGGAGCAAGCCCTGATGTACCAACGCATGTTTGAAGGCCTCGCCTTCTACGATAAACTCTGTAAGATCAACTTTAGTTGGAGTACTGGGTTCGAATATGACACTTCAAGTGCTATAATTTCAAATTCTGGATTCCAGTATGTTTTATTCTGTGCAGCTCCTGGCGACAGCTTTTAACAGCCTGTTAAATCCTTTGTTTTCCAGGTGCAGTTATTTTCTATGACTACTATGTTCCTGAAGGAGAGCGGCTCGATTCAGCTCTGAAGAGGAACAAAGAGGCCCTGGTCACTGAGCTCAAACTCTGGGAGGGTTACCTAGAGAAGGTTTGGTGAATTAATGAATATAAAGTAGCTTTTTTTTTTTCTTCCTGCAATCCAACATGATAAATGTGTCCCCCATCCAGCTGGGCTCTGGCTCTTACCTGGCAGGAAAGTCTGTCACTCTGACAGACGTGGTCGTTTTTCCAACTGTTGCTACTCTCTTCAGATTTGGGTAAGAACAACCAACATATATATATATATATATATATATATATATATATATATATATATATATATATATATATATATATATATATATATATATATATATATATATATATATACATATATATATACATATATATATATATATATGTATGTGTGTGTGTATTTTATTTTTTACTTGTAAACATCAGTTATGGCTCAGTATTGGTCTCCTGTGTCTCTCTGAAGGCTGTCTGCTGAGCGTTACCCCAAACTAGGAGAGTACCACGCTCTGATGAAGGAAAGGCCCAGCGTCAAAGCCAGCTGGCCTCCTCATTGGCTGGAGAATCCCAAGGGACAAGACACCCTGAAGGACATCTGAAATGGACCAGTTCCAGTCCCACATTAGAAGCCTTGCAACTCTCCTTCTGTAAAGCAGATCTGATAATCAAAAATAACCAAATTCAGCTTGCACTGTTGTAACATTTCCAAATGGTGTCTTCTGAAGCATTGTGACAGAAGATGGTTTAGTTTCTAATGCAATGTTGAAATGACTGAAAATGCACTTTCTTTGCTTATGACTTTCTACTAACAATTTATATCTAACAATTGAAGCTTATATAAAAATGCTTCCTTCATCTAATAGGTCAGTTTTCCCTCCAGTTTACTGCAGAAGGTTTTTCTAGAGGCTCGCTACACAAATGCTGCACTATAAAATAAATTTGGGGCCATAACTGAGTGTATCTAAGGTCAGCGTGTCTAAATGTGTTCAAAGTCTGACTTTAAGAGATAAATGATCCCGATGGAGAAAATCCATGTTATCAAATATCTGGTTTATCATCTGAAAATGATTGTTGAAACAGGTTTGCACTTCCCAGGCGGAACTCAAATGTTGCGGTGTCCCGTCTTTGCATACATTTACAGTTCTTAAATTGTGTACTTTGTTTAATTTTGCATTTCATGTTGAGCTCAGCCTCTGTCAGACCCAGCTGTGTGCTGTATGTAGGTCAGTGTTTATCTCATTAAAAATGAGTGTCTATCACCTTCATTGTCTTTTTTTTCCACTGCAAACATTAAAATCTTGCACATATTAAAGAGAACATGAACACGTTAGCATGTTTTTAGGACGTCCCTTGTTGCTTTGCTTTTGTTGGTAAGCAATAAAAGGAGATGGAGTGCATTATTTTAACAATATGTTCCGAAAGAGGAAAATAATTCCCAATGCCTAAAATTCACTAATGAAAGAGTTTGCGCTCTATTGAAATGTGTAATTGTCCGTAACAAAATGGTTTTGTGCAGAAATGTCAAGGATTTCACAGCATAATAGCCTTAAATACTCCTTGAGAAATAGTTTTTCTAAAATGAGTCGGTATACAAACTCCAAGGCCAGTGTTTTAACAAACACATTTGTTTCTAAGCCTTTTGCATTGGAACGTTCCATTTGCCAGTTATTCCCAATGTTCTTCATCCTGGCTATGCAGTACAACCCTTGGCAGTGTTGATTAGAACATTAACTTATCCAGTTATGAGATCTAGAGCATAGACTGGCCCCGTATGCTGATGACCTGATAGTTTTTTGGCAAGGCTGTCCATTATCATCTGTAATTTAAAGCGACAATTTGAATTATTTGTTTGATTGTCTGGTTATAATATGAATGATTCAAAATCCTTCATCTTGTTTATAAAAAAACAATAATGCAAAAACTGCATTTATCAGTGCAAAAATCATCCCAGAGAATAAAATCATGGTATCAACAAACTATGATCTCTTGGTTAGTGACGTAAATGAGTCTCTAAATTAATAGATGATGATGCCTGTATCAATGATTGACCATATAAACATGAATAAAATGAACACATTACCCAATTTTTTCATATTTGTTTCAGTCTTCAAAAACCTTTTCTTGATGTATTAAACAGTAAATGTATTAGATTAATGTATTAGACTAAGACTTCGGCTGTGGTACCTACCATATGAACATCATGTTGGTTTGAATCCTGGCCTGGCTATTGCTTGGATTCTTTGGAATGCTCAAACTTCTCATAGAATCCAAACGCCGACTGATGCATCAATTGGTCTCTCTAATGTGCCCTCCTCCAGTGTGCATGATTATTTGCCCTTCATGTCTCTGTTTCGCTGTGAAATACACTATATTGCCAAAAGTATTTGCTCACCTGCCTTGACTCACATATGAGCTTAAGTGACATCCCGTTCCTAATCCATAGGGTTCAATATGACGTCGGTCCACCCTTTGCAGCTAGAACAGCTTCAACTCTTCTGGGAAGGCTGTCCACAAGGTTTAGGAGTGTGTTTATGGGAATTTTTGACCATTCTTCCAGAAGCGCATTTGTGAGGTCGCACACTGATGTTGGACGAGAAGGCCTGGCTCTCAGTCTCCGCTCTAATTCATCCCAAAGGTGTTCTATCGGGTTGAGGTCAGGACTCTGTGCAGGCCAGTCAAGTTCATCCACACCAGACTCTGTCATCCATGTCTTTATGGACCTTGCTTTGTGCACTGGTGCACAGTCATGTTGGAAGAGGAAGGGGCCAGCTCCAAACTGTTCCCACAAAGTTGGGAGCATGGAATTGTCCAAAATGTCTTGGTATGCTGAAGCATTCAGAGTTCCTTTCACTGGAACTAAGGGGCCAAGCCCAGCTCCTGAAAAACAACCTCACACCATAATCCCCCCTCCACCAAACTTTACACTTGGCACAATGCAGTCAGACAAGTACCGTTCTCCTGGCAACCGCCAAACCCAGACCCGTCCATCAGATTGCCAGATGGAGAAGCGCGATTCGTCACTCCAGAGAACGCGTCTCCACTGCTCTAGAGTCCAGTGGCGGCGTGCTTTACACCACCGCATCCGACGCTTTGCATTGCACTTGGTGATGTATGGCTTGGATGCAGCTGCTCGACCATGGAAACCCATTCCATGAAGCTCTCTGCGCACTGTTCTTGAGCTAATCTGAAGGCCACATGAAGTTTGGAGGTCTGTAGTGATTGACTCTGCAGAAAGTTGGCGACCTCTTCGCACTATGCGCGTCAGCATCCGCTGACCCCGCTCCGTCAGTTTACGTGGCCTACCACTTCGTGGCTGAGTTGCTGTCGTTCCCAAACACTTCCATTTTCTTATAATACAGCTGACAGTTGACTGTGGAATATTTAGGAGCGAGGAAATTTCACGACTGGATTTGTTGCACAGGTGGCATCCTATCACAGTTCCACGCTGGAATTCACTGAGCTCCTGAGAGCGACCCATTCTTTCACAAATGTTTGTAAAAACAGTCTGCATGCCTAGGTGCTTGAATTTATACACCTGTGGCCATGGAAGTGATTGGAACACCTGATTCCAATAATTTGGATGGGTGAGCAAATACTTTTGGCAATATAGTGTATCTGCAACCTGATTTATAGAGCTGGAGAAGGGGAAAGTTGGTGACTGGCTCAATAACAGCTATTATTAAGAAGTGATGAGATTTTCCAAATTTCTGCTCACCATTTAAACACAAGCACATTCTCCACTGTACACTTCTTTTCTTAGGGCAAGGCAAATTTATTAATTACGCACAGGAACGGCAACCATACGAACACAATAAAACAAGTTCAATCAATACGAATGTATGGAAGATACAAATTATATATTAAAAGTAGTTAAAATAAAACCAATCGCCATAGGCAACAATAATTTAATGATTTTAACCTGGACTTATACATAGTTATGTATAGTTATATGCATATATATGTATGTGTAGTTATATACATGGTTAGGTTTGAGGCTTGTTTTATCTCCTCACTGAGGCTGTTCCAGACTTTGGCAGCATGAAAGTGAAAAGCAGCCTCACCATGTTTAGTGGTGACTCTAGGGACCACCAGGATCTCATGGCCTGAGGTAGTTGATACAGCTCTAACATGTCAGAGATGTACTTTGGTGCTAAAACACTAGAAGACTTGTACTCAAGTAGATCTGTTTTAAAGTCTTTTCTCTGAGCCACAGGAAGCCAGTGCAGAGATTAGAGCACAGGACTAATATGGTCATATTTCCTGGTTCTGCTCAGGATTCAAGCAGCAGCATTTTGGATAAACTGCTTGTTTGGAAAGGCCAGTGAAGAGGCTTTAACAATCGTCTAACCTGCTGAAGACAAATGCATGGATTAATCTCTCCAAGTTTGGTTTAGACACTATGTTTTTTTTATTTTAGTAATGTTTTATAGATGGTAACGGACTTAATATTACTGTTGACTCTTATTGTCCTTTAAGCATTGGTATTGTTTTTTTGTTTGTACTGTTTATATGTCCTCTTGTCAGTATATGTATTCTACCAATGATTGGCTTTAAAAACCAATACCCAACATACACAAAGCCACACCCAAAATGCTGCTACTGCACGTCCTCTTCTGCGTTCAATGATCTACACATTTTATTTCACTATTTTAACTCCTACTGTCCAAAATATTGCAGTAGCTTAACGTTACTTTCAAGGCCAAACTGCTCATTATAAAACCAATGAATTACGACCTTTGAGTTACAGAGTGTCATGATGGGTTCTGGGAGTAAAGCCCAAAATGCAGAACACACACGGGGAAAACTGGGTAAAAGTCCAAAAGAGTTTATTAAAGTACAAACATGGATATGACACGGGAATTGGTTCAGACGACAGCAGCGTCTTGGGAGGACCACTGCTGGGTCGGAGGCACGGTTGAGGTTCAGAAGACCGGCCTAGGATCCGGCTACGGAGCAGAGTCTTAGGTGGCCGGCTGCGGGGTCGAAGGCGACGCTGACACTCTGGGGGTCTGCCACGGGATCGGCGATAAAGATGACGCTCCGGGGGTCTGCCGCGGGGCCGTAGGCGAAGCAGCTTATCAGGAGGATGACGCCCAAGCTTCAGCAAGTACCCCCACGGGGTACCCCGTCCCCTCCTCGGTAGCTCAGGAACAGTCTCAGAAGCGGCCGCCGACTGCGGCTCAGGAGGTGGCTCTGAGGAGACCGCCGACTGCGGCTCAGGAGGAGGCCCAGGGGAGACCGCCGACTGCGGCTCAGGAGGAGGCCCAGGGGAGACCGCCGACTGCGGCTCAGGAGGAGGCCCAGGGGAGACCGCCGACTGCGGCTCTGGAGGAGGCCCAGGGGAGACCGCCGACTGCGGCTCTGGAGGAGGCCCAGGGGAGACCGCCGACTGCGGCTCCAGGTCTGGAACAGGGGAGCCCGCTGATTGCGGCTCCCGATCAGGAACAGGGGAGCCCGCCGATTGCGGCTCCCGATCAGGAACAGGGGAGCCCGCCGATTGCGGCTCCCGATCAGGAGCAGGAGAGCCCGCCGATTGCGGCTCCCGATCAGGAGCAGGAGAGCCCGCCGATTGCGGCTCCCGATCAGGAGCAGGAGAGCCCGCCGATTGCGGCTCTGGAACAGGCGAGACCACCAACAATGGCTTCACCACAGGAACATGCGGGACCACCGACTGTGGTCCCGTCTCAGGAGCAGGCGACACCACCGACTGTAGTTCAGCCTCAGGAACTGGGGAGGCCACCGACTGTGGTTCCACCTCTGGGGCAGGCGACTCCACCGACTGCGGTTCAGCCTCAGGAGCAGGTGGGACCACCGACTGTGGTTCCACCTCTGGGGCAGGCAACTCCACCGACTGCGGTTCAGCCTCAGGAGCAGGTGGGACCACCGACTGTGGTTCCACCTCTGGAAACGGAGGGACCACCCATGGAGGCTCAAGTTCAGTCTCTGAGGTGGCTTGAGGCGTCGGTGGAGGGTTCTTGGTGATTAGTGGCCTCCGCTGAGGGACTCTTGGAGGCACATTTTCACCAACACTAAATTCTGAAACTCTTCTAACTTTTAGCTCAGGGGTCTCAAGACGGCACAGGGCAGGCTCAGGGGTCTCTGGACAGCACAGGGCTAACTCAGGGGTCTCTGGACGGCACAGGGCTAACTCAGGGGTCTCTGGACGGCACGGGTCTAACTCAGGGGTCTCTGGACGACACAAAGCTAACTCAGGGGTCTCTGGACGACACAAAGCTAACTCAGGGGTCTCTGGACGGCT